TATATATATATATATATACAATTATACTTATGACTATATTTATTTGTGCAGTACGTTGCTTAGATGAAAGAGAGAGTTTTGTAAAGGTATTATTTTGATTTTATTTTTATACAAACACTGTAATTGTTCTTTTTGCAGGGATCACTTATCACAAATTTAGTTGGCATTTTTAATGCTGGTTTTCAATCGTTGATTATGCTGATATTCAATAAGACAGTTCGGGATACCTTCTTGACAATGCTAAGACTAAAACCAAAACCGCACCGTTTGTTGATTAAAAGCGGTATTTGTGATATAACAAAGGTTTCGGCTTGGACTAAAGCAACTGTAAGCTGAAAACTTGTCGACCAGTTTCAGTGAGTAGGAGTGCTGCGATTGTAATAGAAAAATAGAAAGGATAACTTTTTCATATTTCTGCCAATAAATCATATCGTTGTGACGAACGTCGAATGCTTGATTGCGTGAGTATACCTCAAACTTGGATATTTAAACCTTCATTACAAAGAAATGGTATAATTTTAAACGTAATTATCAGTTATAATACAAAGTAACGAGTATAACAAAATTAACAATCAATAGTAGATATTACAAAGTGAAAGAAAATTGAAATAAAATAAGCTACAGAAGAGGAGGTTAGCCGGCGATCACTACAACGCATCGCTTGTACAGTAGCTTCTTTCCCTGTCGATCTGATTGATCTGATCGGTTTTGGTTATCATGCACGTTTTTTTATCATGCTTCGCTGGCACCAGTCGCCGATCACTTCGCATGAGCCCAGTCCTTCTAACATTTGCGCTAGTCGCGGATGTTTGAACTACAATGGTTACACAACATTTAGTCTTTACACTGCTCTACAGTACCCATAAAATAAAATTATGAAAAAATTTTACAAATTAATAATAAGAATATTTTGTAAAAAAAAACTTTACTCTTATTGTTTTTTTTTACAAAAATTCTTGAATTATTGTGAAATTTATAGTCTGATAAAGTTTCAACTGTTTATGCCTTGTACGCTGCTGAGTAATATTGCTGACGAATGAATAAATAACAATAAGATTCTGAGAAGACATAAACAACAGATGGTTTTTAATGTAATGTTTTTATCATGTTTATAAGTTGTTTATTTAAATAATAAGGTGAAAATGTTACTTAAAATAATAAGAAG